AGATGTTCCAGCCCTTCCTCCAATCAGAACTATCTCCATTTGTCACCTTCTCTGTGGTACTTCCCACCCCTTTGCTGTGGTTTTTAGCTCTGCTCCTTAACCTCTCATACAAAAGAGGCACAGTAATAAATAATTTTTGTACATAACAAGTTAACCACAACAAATAAAGTTCTTATAAGGAACTCACAAGCATCTTTAATAAAACAAAGCTCATGGTATTATGGTTAGTACAAACATCCTCAGTAGGTGAGGCCTTTGTCTACATGCAAGAAAAAAACACACACAATATATTTTAAAAACTAGATTATATTCCTGGTCTTACAACTGGAAAAGTAAACTGAAACCTAAGCCCTTAAATAAAAACAAAAGATCAAAAAGAGTCTAGGTGCAAAAACATCAGATTTTTTAAAAATGTCCAAGCAATGCTTAAAAATAAGAGTATCTTCAACATGAAATTATTTTAAATAATCCCAAGGCCCTTTTTTAAGTCCTTGTTGAGGAGCAACATTTTTGATATAACCTTATTTGCTAAAGTATTAAAACATAAATTTTGCAGAAAGGTACTCATTAAACAAAAGCTAACTTTAAATCATTTAAAAATTTTCTAGTGATAAATAAAATAAATTTGGTAGTAGATTATATTTGGGCCTAATTAGATCTCATGTTGTGGGAGGAAGGAAGGAAAAGTAGGAAGGAAGGAAGGAGGGAAGAAGGTGCCTTAAGTATACATTTAATCTTTTAGCTGACATGTATGAATACATATACATTTTTAATTGCAAAGTTATTGCCACTTTGACCTTGTAGACCTTTTATGGGGTCACAAAATGTTTTGATGAGCGTCTGTTCCATCAAGAAAATTCAATGGCGTCTAGGATGCTTCCAGTTTATGGAGAATTAGATTTGAAATTCAGAGCATTTTTCCCCTAGAAATCCTGTGACCTGGGAAGGGAGGCGCAAGCCCACTACAAAAGCCCACATGAGTTGAACTAGTTCACTTACTATGGGACATTTCGAGTCTAATATGCTCAGACTCCAGGAGGGGGTGTTGTGTGCTGTTTCCCAAATTCATTAGGCTGCAGTGGCCTTTTTGGGGAGAGCCCCCTGCAGGGGGGTGGTCTGCAGAACACACCTCAGGAAATGCGATACTTTATCATTTCTAAGCCTCTTTCCATTTCTTAAAATCTATGCTAAATTCAGCTTGTGATTTTTTTTTTTTTTCAGTTTTAGATGACAGGTAGATGAAAATGAGAAGACAAAAGTGAAAATGGAATTAGGGTTCCCAAGGAAAAAAAGCCAGTAGGTCCCTACCAACAAGCACCAGGCCTACTCTGCCTTCGAGACTCGCAGTCTTGTGGCAGCTGATTTCTATTCACGTGTCTAACTTGCTAGGCCCATGACGCACCTCCTAGGACAACAGGCTTCCCGGACGCCACCTCCCAGGCAGGGAAAACTTGGGGGAAGGAGGAACAGTAGGACTGGGTAGAAACGAAGGATTGTTATGAGACTAGAAGTTGTGGGGGTAAAGACATGGATTCTGCGATGTTCTCCACCTCTCTCATCTCAGATGAGTGAAGGGGATTCCCTGCTGCTAGGACTACAAGGGGGTGGGAGGAGAATGAGCCCAGCCAGCGTGGCTCAGTGGTTGAGCATTGACCTATGAAGCAGAGGTCACNCTAGGACTACAAGGGGGTGGGAGGAGAATGAGCCCAGCCAGCGTGGCTCAGTGGTTGAGCATTGACCTGTGAAGCAGAGGTCACGGATCGATTCCCGGTCAGGGCACATGCCCGGGTTGCAGGCTCGATCCCCAGCAGGAGCCATGCAGGAGGCAGCCGATCAATGACTCACTCTCATCATTGACGGTTCTTNGGTCACGGATCGATTCCCGGTCAGGGCACATGCCCGGGTTGCAGGCTCGATCCCCAGCAGGAGCCGTGCAGGAGGCAGCCGATCAATGACTCACTCTCATCATTGATGTTTCTCTCTCTCTCCCTATCCCTTCCTCTCTCTGAAATCAATTTTTAAAATTTAAAAAAAAAAACAAGGGGCGAAAATGAGTATTTCAGTGGCCACCAGATCCCAAGGCTGCAGTGATCCTCCTTCAGAGGCCACAGTAGGTAAGGGACATGCATAATAACCAAGGTAACTTGGAAAC